CCCCCCCAAAAAAAAGAAAAATGAAAAAAAAAAAAAATCAAAACAAGAAAGAATTGGTAGATATTATCTTGATTTTGTTCTGTACCTGCAAACCTGAGTGGTGTTTCTCAGTGGGATGCAGCAAGCTCATTTCAGTGTGAAAGGAAATGTCTGATGCTAATAGAAACTTGCATAGGTTTGAGCTTGGCAAAACAATTCAGAGTGCTTAATAAACAATAGAGAAGATTTTCTTCTTTTATAATTTACATGTGGCTGCCTTAGGACTTGATCCACCTCCCATGAGCTCTGGTAAGTAATCCAAGTGAGCATTGCAGGTTAGTAATATCTTCCCAAACCTCACTTCTCTGATGTTTAAGTCCCTCATTGTGGCTTCAGGACTGTTAGCTCTCAAATTTGGAACTGGAAATTGCTTCAGAAGTGCTTCATAGTATTATCATACACACAAACCCACAAAAAAAAAATCTGATTGTTCTTAGCTGCATCAGGACACATCAGTAACAAAGAGAAAAGTCAAAGGGAATTTAAAAGGAGCAGATCACTGTGTTTTATTCTAGTATACTCTATTAAAAAAAAAATGGTGATGATAACTTATTGGCTGCTGTTGAAGATAATCATAGAATCATTTGAGTTGGAAGGGACCCTTAAAGGTCATCTGATCCAACTCCCCTGCAATGAACAGGAAAACCTACAGCTAGATCAGGGTGCTCAGAACCCTGTCCAGCCTGACCTTGAATGTGTCCAAGGATGGTGCATCCACCACTTCTCTGGGTAATCTCTTCCATATCTAATAGCTTATCTCATCTCCTCCATTCCCAAGAATCCTCCACAATGTTCTTAGCCACTGGCTGCTATAAAACAAAGAGGTCAACTAGTGGGCAAAAGTTTCAGACTATGTGTGAGTGTATGTCATAATGGTTGCATACCATAGATTTAGTCAAGCACTGTCTTAATGTGGAGAGAAATTTCCATTTAGGAGAAGCAAGCTGTTTGATTATTTTTTTATTTATATTTTTTTCCCACTCTACAATAATGACAACTACTACTGGTATTGTTGTTTTTTAATTACAACAACTCCAAGTAGAAATAAATTAAAAAAAAAAGAATCCCTTTCTAGTTAATACTACATATTCTTCAGCTTCTTTGTTGTAGTCAAAATTGAACAAATTTTTCTCACCTCAGAATCTTTTTTTATGCTAAGTATATCTAACTAATTCAAATGTAAACTGCATAGAGCAGTTTGTCAGATCAAAACATCACTAAGGGTAAAACAAGCACAAAACACAGGAAAATTAATCGCAGCATCACAGTTTCTTCTGAGGAAACACACAACAACACATTGGAATGACCTAGGAGCACAACAAAACACATACTTCAGCAGTGATACCTACCTATTGTGTCTCCTTGCTCATGTACCATGGAGGCCAGGTCTTTAATGATCTGGTTCACATCCAGCATGTCACTCTGAAAAGACAGAAAACATAAAAGACATGTTTTGTAATCAAGCCTTCTCAAGTAATGAGGAAAAAAAAGAAAGAAAAAAAAAAGGAAAAAAAAAAAGAGAAAAAAATAGGAAAAAAATTAAGAGGAGAAAGAAAAAAAAAAAGTCTATGTAGAATTAAAAGAAAAAGACACAGTGCTCCATACGCCCATGGCAAATCAAAAACACCTTTAAACAATGCCACGGTTTATTGGATCTAAGTAAGCCAGTTGACTTGAGTTTTCTACAAGAAACAGGTAGAATGATATGATTTTATGGTTGCTTTTCAGAATTGCAGAATACTAAGAGGGAAAAAGCAACAATAAAAACAACTGGTGCAAACCTATCTCTTCTCAGAAAAAGATATATTTGGTGCAAACCATTCATCCTAAAGTGCAGATTCTTACATAGGAGAAGCCCATTTTTAGAATGGCATTCATTTGGTAAAAAAGTTGTTTGTAAATTGGTGGTGATCCACTCAAAAATCACTGAATTCGAATCTACTTATTGGTAGACCATCAAGAAATCAATCCATCTATCAGGCTGTGTTTGATGAATGGATTCATTTATACCTTTCTAAATGTAGCAGAAGTAAAATTAATAGATTAAACACAGAAATCTTCCTAGTTCTAAGACAGCAATCTCTAGAGACTTTGTTTCCTTATTATCTGAACAGTTACCATATACAAGAGCAAATGTGAGCATATGTTGACTTTTTATGTCACTGCCTTTTATAAAAACAATTAACCTAGCAATAACAGACATAATAATGCAGACACTGCTAAATGCACTACCAGTAAGGCAACATTAGCAGAGGAGAAAAAAAAAAAAAAAAAAGACATGCAAGCAGGATGCATTTAGTTTAGCTGTACAACTTAAAGAATCACAGAAACATTGAGAAACATCATTTAATACAATGCTCCAGGCAGGTTGTTCAGAACCAAGTCCACTTGTTTTTGCATGTCTTCAAGGATGCTCACACACTAGGCAATACTATATCCATGTGTTCCCTGCACTGGATATGCTTTTTGGATATGCTGAGCAGAGAGGTAGGAGTATCTCCTTTGATCAGCTGGCAATGCTTCTTGCTTAAAGAAGCCCAGAATGCTGCTGGCCTTCTTTCCTACAATGGTGCATTGATAGCTCAATTTCAGCTTGCTGCCCATCTGGACTTACGATAGAATCATAAAATCATAGAATCATTTGAGTTGAAAGGGACTTATAAAGGTCATCTAGACCAATTCCCCTGCAACGAACAGGGACATCTACAACTATATCAGGTTGTTTGGAGCCTGGTTCAAAGAGACTTCTGAAGAAAATACCTTTCTCTGCAAGCTTTCCATATAGACAGCCAGTCCCCAGCCTGTAATGGTGCCTGGAGTTATTCCACCCCAAGGGGCAGGTCTTCTCACTTCCAGTTACTGTATCTGATGAGGTTTCTTCCATGGAACATTTCCCCAGCCTATCAAGGCTGTTGTGATTTCAGCATAACCACCTGCTATTCAACAGGGAGGATCTGAAGTCAAGATAATCAATATGCCCTGCTTCACACTCAGCCATGGTGACAGTCATCTCATGGTAAAAAGCTATCAGGTTAGTTAGTTACATTTGCTTTCTTCCAGTCTTTGGGAACATCCTCTGATTGCTGTTCTTCAAATATAATCAAGAGTGGCCTCACAATGACACTGGAAAACTCCAATGCTTTCGGTTCGTTCAATCAGGTGTCATGGACTTAATCACAGAATCATATAATTGTTTGAGTTGGAATGGACCCTTGATGATCTTCTAATCCAACTCCCCTGCAGTGAACAGGGACATCTACAGCTCAGTCTGGTTGACCAGAGCCTCCTTCAGCTTGACTCTGGATGTCTCCAAGGATGAAGTTGTATTTGGTATAAAAGCCCCTTGGTCTGACACTCTATCATCAAGAAACCTCCTTACTCCAGACTTTCCCTCTACTCTCAGAACCCAGAGATTCCTGAGGAACAGTCCTACCAGTACACTACAAGCTGAAGAAGGCATTAATCCATACTTTTGTGTCCTCTGTCTTTAGTTCTCATGCCCTCCTGACATGTCTTTTCAGCTTTTCCTTCCACCCTTTCGTACACACATCCTCAACTCCTGACCTTCTAAACTTTTTGTTGGCAGATTGCAATCGTATCTAACAGAGTGGCACAAAGATATTAAGTTTTTAAGAATTTCATGGAAAGAGGAGATAAACGGGTTTAAGGAAAATTTGCCAACTAGACAGCAGAGAATCCAAAATAAAGAAATATATGAGTACATTGATTCTAAAAATATTTTTACAAGTTGATGGATACCAAAAAATCTAAACACATACAAGGGCACAGCAAACCAGACTTCTTTGCCTTAGTTCAATCACAGAATCAATTGTCTGGTTAACACAAGAATTATAAAATTAAAATCAAACACAAGCTCAACCAAGAAAGCATCATTACATCTGCACAAAGAGGAGCAGCAACATTTGCCTAACATAATATCTAAGATCAAGATGTTTTCTGAAACACTGAAAGTGCTCTGAAGAACCTGCTTCTCCCAGGGCTAATTGCACAGTAATTAATCTGTTTGCTTGGATTCTGCAACTCTACCATCATGCTAAAAAAGTCAGCTTGTTTCCATTTCACTTCTAAAGAATTCAGAATTTGTTATGGATGAATTTAAGAAATGAATAACAAAATTTAGGAAATGAGTAACAAAATGAATACACATCCTTCTGAAGTTTGTTATAAGAATGTAAATGGCAGAACATTTAATCATAAAATGCAATAGAATCACAATCATTGGCAATAAAGCCTGAGAGTACCATTGTGAATTTGTGAATATGTTCAAAATGTTGAATAACTGAGGAAGTAGGAGAAACAAAACACTTAAGAAATTGTGAGAAATTATAATAAAACAACAAAAATGAAAGAACACAACCAAAAACCTGCAAACAAAGATGGGGTAATGCATCACAAAATACACTTCATTGATTCACTTGTCAGCCTAAATGAAGCTTTAATTATGTACGGTATTATTCATAACTTGTAAATTCTGTAGAATATTTTTTAAAAGCAATAATGTTTAAGTAACTTTGATTACACCAGACCACTGTGGTCATAAATCACTGCCAAGGAATGAGGAGAAATGTGCTGTGATTTTTTGGATGGAGGAGTTGTGGGGTTTTGTTTGGGTTTTTTTGTAAAAATATTTGAAAGAAGAAGGTTTAATAAAATGTGAATAAATGAGAATTAACTTGAATGTGTTGTTCTGCTCTCATTTAACTGCTTAGTAAAAGATGATTAAAGAAATATTAAACAAATAAACAAACAAACAAACAAACAAAAACATTAAAAAAGCCCATAATGCTCATTTGTCTCTCTTGGTTAAACTGCCACTGACATCAGTCTTCAGTTTCTGTTACAAACAACATAAACAAAATTCTTTCTGCACTTCAATCAGTCTGTTTTGTTTTGCTCTGCTACTTTTAAAGCACTTCAAGTGAACACAGCCTAAAACTTGTCCTTTTATTTGTACATATATTAGGTTAGATGGAGCCTATTGTAATATATTGAATTACACCTCCGCTCAGTTTTTCCACTGGAATAAACTATGAAGGCAATTCGGTCTAACAAAGATCAGATGGGTCCACATAGGGTCTTCCTCAGCTACTTATTGCAAGGAATTGGGCTGTCTGCTTGCTGATCCCAGGGTACTGTGATGAGAAGGGGAGGAAGGAACAGGGAAGGAATGAGAAAGAAAATTCACACTGTATACGAATTGTTATGTCTCAGCTTTGTCGTTTTTATTCAAGTAGTCGTGAACAACTTCGTGGCTGTAGCGTATAGATCTCTTTCAAATCACTGTATCAATGCTTAAAATTATTGTTCAGCAAATATGGGTTATTTAAAACCAGATTCTGAGGTGGTAGGGAGGAAAAATTGTGGCTACTCAGCGTCAGAAAAAACAACAGAGGCAGTTTAAGGCACAGAGTACAAAGCAATCTGACCTGAAGCAAGCAATATGTTGAATAATTTAACCTGGCAATGTGAAGTTTCCAAGCACCTGATATATGTAAGCAAAACAAAAAGAAAAAAAAATAATAGAAGGAAGAAAAATAGCTAGAAATAAAGACCATCTATAATGGCATATACCTAGCAGCTATGTTTCTGCTTCTCCTTGCCAAGTTATCTCTATCATGAAGTACCTCTGAACTTGCCAGGCACCGGAGTTTGTTAACAAAATCAAATTGCATTGGTTTCCCCAGTTTTGCACACAGTATGCAGAATTCAAAGTGAAATAATGCTCCTCATAAATCTCTTTGACTCCACCAAAACTGGGAGCACAACAACAGCCCGTTTCAAAACTGTGTTCTTCCTGCCAGCTACCTAGGTTGGAGTTTCTTGTTTTTTAATCAACATCAGCCTCGACTGGTTGTCAACAATTCAGACCCTACATTTGGCAGCAAGAGGGAGACAGATTTAAATCATTCATGTTTTTTGTTTTTTTTTTTTTCCAAAGGAGAAGTTTATGTAAGATAAGTCATTAATACAGTCAGAATATGGTGAAAATCAATGTCATGCGATAAAGGTAACCAAAGCAAGTAGAGAACTGGCCAACTAACAAGCAATGTAAATGAGAAAAACAGAAGAATATGGAACTCTAAAAAACTGAAGCATTTACTCTGGACAGAGAAAATGTGTTTAGTAAGTTCTGAACAGAAAGCACTAGGCAATTATGAAGAACTAAATGAGTAATTTCACCTGACTTGGTAAGTGAATAATGTCACTGTAAAATACCCAGAATTTGGAAAATTTCTTAAATTCCAACTCTTGCACAGTAACTTTTGGAAATACGAGTTTGCAGATAAACTGAAACTTTACATTTCCCATTTTTTACTTCAGCAAGACCACAATCTCAACATTTTAAAAATGAATCTGGGGACAAGTTGAGTCGTAAAACTCAGACATTGTTCCCAAGATGG